GTCTCCTCCTCTCCAGGCTGAACAGACCAAGTGACCTCAGCCACTCCTCATACAGCTTCCCCTCAATGCCCTTCACCATCTTTGCTGCCTCCTTTGGATGGTCTCTAATAGGCAGCAACTAAAAAACCCAACTTATTGAAATAATGCTACAGGAACACATAGTCCCGTCTATGTAAGGAAGAGCAAAGGTTTTCAATCAAACTGAAGGTCCAACTACACCAGGTCCCCCAGGAATTATGATTTCCAGTGTTTAATTCTGCTTTGTGTGAGCAAGTCTTCCCTTTTGTTTTAAATTGCAGAATGATCCCCTTTTTTTATCATTTTGTTCTTTGTTACGAGAAATTCATGTGATAAAGCCTGCTCTGATTTCTTGAACTCAACAAGAGTTGGTAGTATGATTCACCCTCTCTGCATCTATCCAGATGACACTACCACTGTTCCAAACATGCACTACCAAACTGCATGTCAACATCCTGTTGGCTGGTCTAGAGTGTGAGCAGCTGTGCTTTCCAGTGGTGTTGGGAATTGGGCTGGAGAGGAGACAGTGACTCTAAGACATTCTGTCTGATCTTTGGACATGACAACACTACACAGTTACAGAGATTGCACCGCTGTCCACTGAACTCTTGACCTTACACGTCTTCCCTCCATGGTGTCATTAAATGAACCACAGTTCATGGAAAGCCAAGCACCAGGCTTCAGGGAAGATGTAGAGCCTCCTTATATTTCCATTTCACAGAGAAGTGGCATGTTTTAAGAAGTATTTGCATTGTAGTGACACTGGAGGATTCCGTGAGTACAGACACAAATGGAAAAGAGTTTGGCACAAATAAACTAACAGATTAAGTGGGGACCTTAAACACAAATAGGCACACTACATCCTTTAACTGCAAATAATTGTGCAATAAGTTAAAGCAGGGGTTATACATGTTCCAGGGGTAAGAATATATTCCAAAGGTTCAAGCAGAAGTCAGAGGAGTGGTAAAAATAAAGACAAATGCCTGGGATGCAAGGTAGGAAGGAGAGTGGATCTCTTACCTCCAGGATAAACTCCTCTTTTGGCCTTGGATGAGGGTCAAGAACTTGTTCAGTGTTATGAATGCAGACAGAAAATCCCTTCTCTATGTTCCAAGGATTTCATAATCTTGTTGCACTTAAAGTCACAGGCTGCATTGGCACCACATAAAACATGACTTATACCAGCATCACAGTCCATCCTGGGTAATAAGTCTTTATTGATCCCTTTTGCATCACAAAGGTTTCATTCTCCATGACTTTACACCAGAACTGAGATGGTCCACACAGTCTGTGGCAAATATTCCTTGCCCTTTCAGCACAAAAATAAATGGGAAACAGAAAGGAAACAAGTCAGGGGGGAGAGCTCACCACACAGGTAACAAATAAATAAACTATTATTCCTTTCAGAGATGGAGAGGAAGGTAATCAGTAGAATATAGTATTTCAAGGGATGTCCAGAGCCCAATGCTTTCCTATCCCTCCCTCAGGATTCAGCCTAGCAGTTAAATCTCTGCTTGTGCTTGACCTGCACAAAGTCTTCAAAATTTGGGTTCCAACCCAACCTCACACAGCTCAGCAGCTTGGCATGTTTGAGACAGCCTAAAGTATGTGGCCAGCAAAGGAGAGGAGAAAGCCAAGAGCACCTCTCCTGCCAGCTGGCCAGGTGACCATGGCACGCAGCCCAGTGGGACTGAGCTGCTGGTTCTGAGCTTGCCCACCAGTGCTGTCACAAGCCCGTCCTGAGCTCACAGCCAGGCACAACTACTGCTATATCCTCTCCTCAAATGTCCAGGTGATGGATCCAAACACCTCTGAAGCCTGCAGGCTGTGCAGGGTGGGCAATGAAGGATATTATGGATAGCTTTCCACTCAGTGTCTTTCAATCTTGCCATTGCCTTTACAGATAACAGATTTTACATCATGTTTTGCCATGAAAATCCATCAGAGAGAGAGATTTCTAGTGTGATGTCCTGTTGTTGTAAAGCATAACTTCCCGAAGAGAGCCTCCTTCCTTTGTTTTATTTATTTATTTTCCTCTGAGTGCAGCCTAAACCCTCCCTTCCTGTTGGGAACAACAGCTGCAGCATGCAGCATCAGCTTGCCAAGCCTGAATGACTGTGAAATATCATTTATCTTGGAGCAAGATAGCATCAAAGAGAACTATGTGGGCCTGACCATGCATTCATTACATAGCTGTGCTTAGGAGAAGTAGGATAAATTGCAGTAACGGAGGCAAAAGAGGTCCCACTTCTGAGCTAACACTCTGGGGCCTGAAAGTGCTGTCACATCTGAAAGCACTACTGAGAAAAAAAAGGGACTTTTCATTTCCTTACTCAGAAAAGGACTCTTTCAAAGGCTGGAGATGCAAAAGTATTCACCAGGGCAGGAAAGTAATATTTCTTCTGTAGCTTAATGGGAGCACCACAGCCTCAAGATCAAGTAATTGGCTGATGAAAACCACAGAGCTGACACACACATTTCCTAACATACCTGTGTTATCCCACAGACCTGGTGAATCCTGTATGAATGCTACAATCCTTAGATAAAAATTACTTTCAGATATCCTTCTGTTATCTTCTCCCTTTAACCCTTTTGGGGAGCTTTTCTTTTTTGCCAGAATCAACAGCTGCTTAAAGGTTAGGAGAGAGTTCAGTCAAATTGAAAATTAATGATTAATCACACATTTTCCCCACCTGCACTCCAGTCCTATCTTTTGCTCTGGGTTCCTTTGGTGCCTCCTGTCCCTCATGATCAGTTGGCTGAGAGCACTGAGATGCTTTTTGTTCAGTTCCCAGTCTCAGGCTCCCCCGGAAGCATTCTGGGCTACATGGTGCTTCCCTTGTCAACATCACATATTTCCCATTAATGATGAGTGGAAAAGGTCAGGCAGGTTCTATAATGGCCTGTTTGAGAGCAAACAGCCTTGGGAAATGACTCTCTGATTTCTGGGAACTCCAGTCTATTCAATAAGCAAAAAAAAGTAGTCCCAAGAAAAGTGAAGATAACACATTAAAGACGACTTTCCCATGTAAGTTTGGATCTGCCAGAATTCTCTTACATAAACTTGGGTATGAGTCTTCCAGTGATTTTGGTGGTGGAGAGAGTAGCTTTAATGAGAGCACAGACAGATGCAGGAAGTGTTGCACAGATGCAGAGGGGTTAAGCACCCCGTGCATGCCATTTTGAGTAGTTTGCCACAAAATTCCTAAGATAGTCCAGACCACTGACTCTAACATAATAAAGCCATCACTACCAGGATCCTTCACATCATCTGCAGCAGCTAGGGAATCTTTTCTGAGTAGAAGTTCTGAAATTTCTTAGGGATTACAGAATCATAGAATCATACATTGGTGTGGGTTAGATCATCTAGTTATAACCCTCCTGACATCTTACACTAGACCAGGCTGCTCAAAGGCCACCCAACTTGATCATGATGATGAAAGATTTAAATGAAATAAAAAACTTCGCATGACAACAATTCTCATGCCTCAGAATGGAAAGCCCCAATTTTACTTGTGCACATTGTGGTTTTTAGATAGAAAAAGCAGTAATCAAAAACATGCCCATCAGGATTTTCATAGGAAAGCTATCAAGAGTAAATGAATGTCACGCTATAGAGCTGAAGCCAATGCAGCAACGTCAGGAGTTTTTCCTATTATTTCCCTGTCTTTGTTTTGTGCCTTGCTTTGCTCTATTACTAAATGTTCCAGAGCTCTCTACCACAAGCCCAGAGTGTGGAAATGCTGACCAAAGTCGTTTAAGTCGTTTACTGAATCCATGTTCACAAACAAGCTGTTAGTTGCTGTTGGCATGTAAATAAGTCACTGTTCTTTCCATCCTATAGCTGTTAAATAAATACTGTGAGCCAAGTTCACGGCACTGACTTCTTGTAGGAGGTCACTGAGATGATTTCACAGAAATATCCTGTGACAATTTTGCAAAACAGGATGGTCCCAGCCTGAATTTCATTACTCTTTTTTTTTTTCCACTTCCATGCCTATGGTTACTGTGTTTCTGCTGTCACAGGCAGGCTGTTAATTGACCCTGACTCTATAAGAGACGCCAGGAAAATGGAAACTTTTTGTTTACTCTTCTTAGTGTCTAAGGCACATGCATCTTGTATTCTGGTATAACCTAGAAGTCTCAGTCCATGTCAGCTACATACAGGCTGTGTATCCACACTTACATTTACTACATGCCACTGACTGCAGCACAGCGTGCAGACAGCCAAGCAGATAGCTTTAAACGGCAGCTATATAAACAAGGCAGCTGGCACCCTAGCCCAGGCTGAAAAACTTGCAGTGGAGTACACAAATTAACCTCTGCAGCCCAATAAATACATCTTATTTCTAAATAACACCTGCCTGTATATCAAAATAAAAATACCATGCCTAGGGAGAAACCGGATGTCTCATCTTTATTCTACCAAAGGCAAACTGGGGCAGAGATTAAATGTTTTGTCAGAGGTGCCATGGGAAGCCTGTGTCAGAGCCATGACTGGAGTTACCTGTGCCTCAGCCTGAGCTGTAGCCACAGGTTCTTCCTTGTTTTGAGCACAGTGTAGATTCATGGTATATGCTGATGTAACTACTTTGACCCAGTAAATGCAACCCTCAATTTTCACCTGTTAAAAGGACAGAATCAGTCAGACTGTGAGTGTTAAGGGGAATGATGAGCAACAAAAATTGAAATTCCTACTTACAATCTTACCCACTAATGGTAGACATTTTAGGAAAGGGAGTCAGCAGCAAGTTTTGCACTTAAAATAAATAACATCAAGAGCAGTGGATAGGGGTTTGGGAGGTGGATTTAATAGGTGCGTCTACATTTGGCTAAGAATGAAAAGAGCATTTTCTTTCCACTGGTTGCTGGCTAATAAAAGCAAAGGGGTGGAATACATCCAACTTGCAAAACTTGAATACAGTTACTGCTATCTGCAAATGTGTGCCCCTCCCCGCTCATGTGAGCTACAGAGGCAAAAGAGAATGACACATGTGCTGTTTCCTTTTCCAGTTGTAAAGGGGTCAGGAGCCAGGCAAGGAGAGCCCGAACAAGAAGAGCATTTTCCTGGGTTCTTCCAGCTGTTCTGTTCAATCCCGCCGTCAGTTTTGAGCAGGGAAGAGAGACTGTCAACACAAATAAGGCATTTTTCAAAGGCGTAAATTATGAGTTCCCAAAACAATGCGACATCTCAACCACGTGAGTACCTTACCCCCCTCCCCCCTTACAATAAGAGTGGATTTATCCGTCCGTCGCTTAAGGAAAAGATTCTCTAATTCATTTCGTATGGGAAAAAAAAAAAAAAAAGGAATGCCTGAGACTAATCCTGAAAGCAAAAAGTTGTGAAGAAGCTGTTTTCTTTATAAATTCTTTGTGTTTGTTTGTGCGCGTGTGTAAGGGAAGAACTGAAACAGGCTCTGCAAACTCTGGCTCCCGAATAGGACCAAGCAAAGTTAGTAACGTTTCCGCCTAAAGCCCAGCTTAGAAAAGTTCCATTTGAATGTTTTTCCCTCCCCCCGCCTTCAGGAATGAAGTTATAGAGCATTTTGAAAGCGTACCGACGCTTTTCTAAGATAGTAATGGTGCTGCCCAACTTGCCTTCAGAGTCTCAAGCTGTCTGTGTGTAACATGAGACTCAAGCCACAAACTGACAGTCTATATTTAAAGCCACAATGTGTTTCTGCTCCTGGAAATTTAGAAACATGGGTTTAAGGACAAGCAAATTGGTTTTTCAGCAAGAGTGGGTACAGGAGGGCAAGACCTCTATTTGTGTAACTCTGCATATTTCAGAATATTTTAAAAGAGACAATTTGGCCCAAACAGTCAAGTGAGCATAGAGGCTCAGCTGCAGTATGGTAGTGTTCATTCTGGGACAGTATTAAAAAGAAAAGTAAAGGAAAGGGGGTGGATTATGATTTGATAAGCTGAGAAGAACTCTTGAGCTTTTGGTGCTGCATATATCTTTTTTTTTTAATTTTTCTTATGGCTTTAGTGTAATCTTTCTTGTTTTAATTCAAGGAAGTATGTTTGTTCTATTTTTAATAAATAAACTGCCAATAGCAGAATTGTTTATCATATCATGGTATCAGTAATGAAAGCAGAAAGTACAGAGAGCATTGCTGGGAGCAGCCTGCAATTCAGGGTTTGATCCAGATACTGCTGTAAGGGTATTTGTTCTGTATGGCTGTAGCCACTGACAATGTTTCCCCAGCTTTGAATGAGGCAGGCTGATCCAGCAGAAAAGACACAGCAAGCAGAATCTCTGGAATCCTAACCAGCAATTTCTAGTAATCCTTTAGTCCTTTTTGCAGGTTCTAACAAACAAGAAATATTAGATGTTACTTTTATATTTTATTCTACTTTGTTCTGCAGTTTAGAATATTATAGCTTGTTTTCTATTGCAGCTTGTTTTCTGTTATAGCCAGGAAAGATACAGGCAGGCTTATTCAGCATTCTGAGAGCTTAGGATTGGCAAAGCTTGTGTAAATTATTACTATTGGTGCTCTCCAAGCATGTCCAGGAGGGTGGTCATGACTCACTGAGGTTCTTCTCATGTATTGTGAAATATCAGCAAGAGTCCAGACTCAATCTTGTATATTTAGTGACAGGCTTGGCCAAGGGACACATCCAGGACCAGCTCTACAGTCCTGAATACATTACAAACAACCTCTCTGGCAGACCCAGATTGTCAGACCCACAGAAGGCCCTAGGGGGAAACCGGATGAAAAGTTAGTGCCCCATGGGGCCTTTTGTCTGCTCATAATGAAAAAGGACAGATGAATCAGGTTCTCCTGGGTTTTTTTCCAAAATGTGGACAGGAATTCTCAACTTGAACTATTTTAAGATCACATGTTTCTCTCCATGAAAATAAATTGCTTGCAATCCAGCTAGAAGTATTATGGCTGAAAAATAGTCACAATATACTGTCTTTTGTTGGGGTTTTTTGTTTTGTTTTATTTTGTTTTTTAATTAGATGGATCAAATTTATAGATTAGGAACAAAAGTTAGAGGGAAGTCTAATAATACCATATTTCTGTATAATTCAAGTTTGGTGCATTGATAATGGTTAAGGTTTTGAGGGAAAGTCTTTGGGAAAAGGGTGTTATTTCCTAGTAAAATTCCTGCTATTTTTGCAAGAAACAAGACAAGAAACAATTGGAAGTTCAGTGTATTGACAGGCACTGTGCAGCATGGACAGCAGATGTTTGCCAGAGAGGCAGAATAATTGGGAAAACAAATTAGCTTCATAGCCACAGTGAAAATCTGTGAGATGGGTGTGAAAATGCATAAAAACATCATCAAAAGCTTTTGACTACACTGAACATATTAATTCTTTTCTGAATACCTGCAGGTGAGACCACAGAGCAGCTGCCAACTGATGTAAACTGAACACTGTTAAGTCACCTAATTGCTCATGTATTTTGCTTATCTCCTTGTATTCACCCACGGCTGATAAGGAATTTTTATTCATTCTATAAATGCAGTATGATCCTGCCAATCTGGGGAAGGGTGCATGCACTGTTTCAGATTTTAAATATTCACCTCTGTGAATGCTGTACTTGTATTCTGCCTCTCTATGGGGATGCCCCACCATCTCACCTTGGGCACTTCCCATGCCCAGCTCAGATATCCACCAGATATCTGAGTGGGCTCTCTGCACACATAGCAGACGGGAGGGAGACACTAACTGTGATGCATTTGCTTCCTGCTCAGATGAAAAGCAGGAGCTGCCTGACTTAACTATGAAACCTGAGGAACTCCACAGGTTTGGCAATCTCAGTTCAGCTGGCAGCTTTTGCCCTCTTCCTTTTAGACTGCAGTGACCCTATTTTGAGGCAGTGGGACAGTTCAAAGGAGGTGAAGGATTAGGACAATAAGCGTCACCAAGTCAATGGTTCAGCCTGGGGAGGCACTGATCTGTGCCAAGCCATCTTTATGGGTCAAAGGTGTTCACCCCTTTGGAGAAGGTGCTGTGCAATTTACAGGATTTCATCTGTACCAGGCAGGCTCGGAATGTTTATCTGGGGTCTCCTATACTCCAAATGCCAGCTGTCAAAGGAGTTTGTGGTTAAGGAGAGCGGTTTGTGGAGGCTTCTGTTCCTCATCACCCATCAACAGATAAGGTCTCCTTCCTGGGGGGATAGGGAAGCAGTGTGATGTGTGCAACACAAGAGTTGGCCCAAAAGGAAACCAAGGAGCAAGGCTGATCCTCAGGCCATGCCCCAGCTGCAGAGGGAGGAAGAGGGTGAGGAAGCGGGTGAAGCAAAGCCAGCCCTCTTGAGCTGTATGCACTCCTTCTGCACTGCCAGCTGTCCTCAGCAGTAACCCAGGCACTGCCCTGCTTAGGGCAGCAGAGTCTGGTGCTGCCTCTGTTTTACAAGCAGGAGGTCATGGCCCCATGAGCCCAAGCTTCTCCACCTGCCCCAGTGACAGTCAGAGCTTCTGGCAAAATGAGTCACGTTTGTGTGGCTGTCCCTGTGAGAGGCTGAGACCTTGCAAAGGTGGCCTCAGATAAAGGCAGAGCAACTTCTGGCTGTGAATGGGGAGTGTGTTTCTGAGAACAGCCTTGCCACATCTTTAACTCATAATGAGATATATTTTGGGGCTGCAAACTGGTTCTTTTGTGTTTGCTGGAGCAATATCACTTGCCTTTCACACAGGGCTTGTGAAAAGCCTTGAATGAGCCCTTTAGGTTTTCAATCATGTTATTCACACCTTGGCAATATATGTGATTTCATTGCCCTTAATCAACAGAAGTGCTTGACTGTGACAGTAAGTGATAAACAAAAACAGAGGCTATTGATTATGAAATCTGGTCTTCACTAGTAAACATGTAAGCTTTTATATACAAGGAAACCTACAGATTATAATAACCTCTCATTTTTAGCACAAAAATCTCAAAACATATCCTACAAGCATTTATGTAAATTGAATGTTTCTGCTTGTATGTTTGTTTCCCACCACTGTGCATATGAATTGGAAAATTTGGCTTTATACCCCAGGGCTCTCCTGACACCCTCATTGTCTGACATATTTATGTGAAAGTCTGGGAATTGAAAGGCTCAGAAGGCACCTGAAATTTCAGTAATTAACAGCAGAAATGTTGGCAAACCACTGAGCTGGAGAGAATAGGGAGAATGTCGACCCAAATAGGAGTCTGCTGTTTTAAAATACATGATTTTCAGCATTGCTGGGTATCATTAAAAAAAAATAAATTACATAGTAGATGTTAAAGATTCAGGTTATGGCTAGTTGTGTGCTTAAGCCTGTTAATATTACAGAATTATGCAGTGTCTGCATCTCATTTCTGATACTGCTGCACCTTTCTTTCTAGCCTCTTGTGTAATATACCCTGTATCCATAGCTGTTCAAATGACTGAGTCCAATCAGCAAAGTCTTTTGTAAAACAGGCTTTCAGGACTGCATTCTCTAATGAAAGTCTGTTTGTGTGTGTGCTCTGTGCAGTGCCTGTCTCTATTGTTGGGGAGGGATTAGTATTCCTATAGTGTAGAGAAATTCAAGCCAACAGAGGGATCTGATTGTGCTAGGTGCTGTACAGTCACCTCTTCTTCAAAAGGCTGGTAAAGAGGAGAGATTGCAGGTGGGAGAGAAATGACTGCTTTCCATAGACACTGCTGGTGAGGCAGCTTTTAGCTGGGAAAAGCTGTGGAGGTAGAAGTTGGTTTGATTTCAGTAGATTCACTGTGGCAACAACTCTAATTCCCCAGTTTTGTAATGCGTGCTTAGGGAAAACACATAGCTCAGAAGTTATTTAGCAACTGGACTGTTTGTTTCCCACTGAAAGATCAGAAAACTTTTGAAAACCATGTTTGGCATAAGTAGGAACTTTGCTTACGATTTTTTGCTTCACATACAAGTAGTGATAGAAAATGCATGAAAAACCCAGATGCCATAGTGACAAGAATACAGGAACACCTTAGGAGGGCAAGTATGCAGGCAGCAGACAATTGTGTTTTACTTACTTAATTTTCTAAGTCAGGTGAATTTGACAGCATTACTCCTGTAATGAATAAATGAAAAATTCACCAGCTGCTAAGCATTCTGAAAAACTACGTGGAGAATGGAGAAAAGTGTCATTTGGAGAAATCAGGCTTTGTTTGCCAACAATTAATGAACGCGAATGGAGGAAAGGTCTCTCTTCTCTGGATAATTTATCTGTAACTGATAATTCAAATGCA